CCGGGGGGGGGTGGATGCTGGGACGTGCCCCGGCGCCGGTAGCGGCTTCGCTTCCAGGTTGTCCGGGTTCAGCGAAAACTGGCCGAGCCCCTCAGGTGGGGCTGGGCTGCGGCCGGTCTGCTCTCCAGCAGCCTCTGCACGACGTTTTTTCCTTCTTTTAGCTTATAGTAATAACTCTTTGTTTAACGCAGTTGGCGCTTGGATTCGTAGCGATGGATTCCAAGTTTTATACACGGTGTTTGTGCCGTGCGTGTGTTGAGGTGGGCGGGGGGGAAGGTGTCAGACGTCTGTCACGCTTTGTAACGGAAAGTGAGGCTGTGTACGTGGGATTAAAGCAACCAGTGGACAAATCAGGCGCTTCTAGCTAGATGACAAGAACGTGTTCACTCACTGATGCAGGGTGGTTGAGAAAGTTTCTTAGTAAAGAGCTCTCATGTTCTTTAGGTTTACCTTGTACCTCTTTACAGTGTACTCCTACGCGTGCAATAGCGGAGAAGCTGCAGGGAAAAGGGGCTGGTGCGAAGTCGACTTCGGTGCTATCTGTGTAGGACAGCAGGCAACCCTGTCTGGTGCTTCCTCTGTGCTGACAAACGTTACGACTCCAGTCGTTGCGTTTAAGCAGCTGCTTTGCCACATCTGCGCTCCAAAGTTTTGTAGCTTTTCCTTAAGCTACTCTGGAGTTGAGATAATTCTTTAAAACACATTTAAGTAGTGTAATAAGGACAGGACTTCACTTCCCTGATTTTTTTTTGGGAGGGGATGTTGTATAACCAAAATTCTATTCCAGCACCCATCTTCTCTACTCACTTTGACTGTGGTTTATTTAAATCCTCTGCAACACACACACAGTGTCATTTTGTTGGTCCCTACAGGCTTACTTGACTGATGCTCCTGCCAAGTGCAGAGTCTGTATCTTTTTGCTAAGGTCTGAAATGGATTTCTGTAGTGAGGAAATTGCAGGCATAGATAATGATTCTTCACGTGTGAACTTCCATTTCCAGTAAAGCCTGTTCCTTTGTTATTGGACAGTGTGGAGCCTTCTCAGCCCCAGCGAGGGGCAGAGCAGGGAATAGCTCTTGAGTAATTTCACTGGGACACGCTGGAGACTCGACATGCTCTTGAAACAGGGGAGATGAGTTAACAGATTTTTCTACAAGATGATCACAGAATCACAGAATGATAGGGGTTGGAAGGGACCTCCGTGGGTCATCTAGTCCAACCTTCCTGCCAAAGCAGTGGCACCTACAGCAGGCTGCACAGGACCTTGTCCAGGCGGGTCTTGAATATCTCCAGAGAAGGAGACTCCACAACCTCCCTGGGCAGCCTGTTCCAGGGCTCTGTCACCCTCAGAGGGAAGAAGTTCTTCCTCATGTTCAGATGGAACTTCCTGTGCTTCAGTGTCTCTCGCATGTTGGCAGTGTAGGTTAGCTTGCCTTTCTTGGTGTCTTTGAATAGGGGATGATAATATGACATATTGTCAGAATACAGTATATGCACGATGGTTTTCGTAGCTTCAGAAATTCTGGGCAAAGTGCGGCATTTCTTCATAAGGAAAACAACAGTGCCAGCTTGTTAAAACATGCAGCATGTTGGCAGGACCATGTTGTGAGCATATTTGCACTATTTGGAAACAGTTTAAGACAGTATTTCCTGGGCAGACAACTTTTCTCAGCATCCTGCTGCTTAATGTATTAACGACTCCAGGTGGAGCAGAGAGCATGCCATGGACAAAAAGGGTTCTGAAGATGGAGGTAGGATTTGGTACTTAATTTTCTTGGGGAGAACGTTTTTATAGAGGAAAAAATGCTAGTTTTCTTGTGACCATAAAATTCTACAGCTGTGAAAATGTGAAACACAGGGTGTTTTTTTTTTTTTCCTTTGAGTGTATAGTATGTGCCCCCGTTGGCTGAGTGTAGGAGCCCAGAGCAGTTTGACATCCTCCCGAGTTTATGCAGCTTATTAGATATTCCCTGCTAAGTCAGTGAATTCCACGCATTGTCAGGTCTGTTTAGCAAGCTTACTTCAGGACTGAGTTTGGTTTTTTTCAGATTTAAAATTCAATATATCCAGTACCAATAAGAATTTAAATGAGAAAGAAATTAATCATAGTAATTATATGGTGAATATGCTGGATGTGGCTGGAGTGTAAGTATCAGTGTGCAGGCCAATTGTAACAGTTTTCCTGAAGCAAGACTGACCATCCAGTTGTCTAGCATGTGTTTCCTGAAAACATATTTCTTAGATTTTTAATTGCCTTATTATTGCTTTATAATTATAGCCAGTTGATTTGAGCAATATTGCTTGTGTCTTTTAATCACAATGATTTGTTCTCAAATCAGAGGGAATATATGAAGGAGGAGGTGGAGGAGTGTGCTGAAGATGAGGCGACTGAATCGGAAGAAGACCTTGAATTTGATGAAAGAATTGGATGCCTTTCCAAAGGTTCCTGAAAGCTATGTGGAGGCTTCAGCGAGCGGAGGCACAGGTAGGCCTTATTGAGGTGGTGGCATGATTCATGTGGGCTGTTAGCTCAGTCTAGCATGCTCTAGGAATAGAAACTTCAATAGGAGGAACACAGGGATCTATGTTCATTTGAAACTAGCCAAAATTGGTTTCTTAATTTCTTTTGTGGACTGACAGAGCTCATCTCCTTCAAGTAGAGACATGGTATCTTATCTAAATAGATGCATTCATCACTCATCTCAAGGGAGATTTTTGTGTAAAACTGATGAGACTCAAACCAATATACAAGTTCACTGTAAAAACTTCTGACCAGTTGGAACTGGAAGTGCAATGTGTCAAGGCTGTAATGAAACTTTCTCATTAGTTGTCTCACTAAGCCCTTTTCTCTGTGTCAGGTTTCTGGGCGAGGCTGCATCAGCATGAGCTGAAATGCAGATTGGATTCAGCTCTATGCTTTCATAAAAGAGGAAAAAGATTATTCAGAGCAGTCTTAAGAGCTGGCTAAGTTAAGCAACGGGGTGTAGAGCAGCTTTCTAAAGCTTTCTAAAGCTTTTTGTCTTGAAGGTTTAGTTGATTTTAAGAGTAAGGAAAGCCCTTTGAAGAACTAAACACTTTACTGCAGGACATGTACTGTCCTTATTAGTCGCTTGTTCCTCTTTCAGAAAGCTCTAGCGGTAAAAAGTACTTTTTCTATATGTATCTGAACAGAAAATTGTGCCTGTAAGTGGGGTTGGGTTACAGGTAGCCTGATCTGGAAGTAGTGACTTCGTCTGTTGGACTATTGGAATTGTTTGCAGTTAGAGAGCAAACTGCTAGCAGTTAGTTTGAAATGGAGGACAAAAATCTCTCTGTGTGCGGTTATGTCTGAAACCCAGTTGAATAAAAAGTACAAGAAGCAATTGCAATCTACAGATAAGCCTTTAAAGTCATTAAGCAACTTGTACAGAAGTAAGTAACACAAGGATCTGTATTACTTAGCTATGTTTCCTGAAATGCAAAGTTAATAATTAAAGGATTACTGTATATAAAATAATCTCTTAAGACCTGATTAAATAACTCTTTGTTAATGTTAGTCCTACTTCCTAAGAAAGCGAGTTGGTTTTATGTTGTAATTCTTAGAAAAACAATAAATGCTTAAAAATTCCTTTTTTGTAATATAGCACCATCCTTCATAAGAACTTCACTTTTGTGAAGGGTGCTTTAAGGATTTCTTGTCACTGGAAGTTACTTTAGTATTTTTTGGTTTATCCCAGTAACCTTATAAATGACAATACAGGATTGTCGTACTCTGTGCCATTATAAAGTTTTAATATGGTATTCCCATTTCATTCAGGATTAAAGTGCCAGGCTTACTTTCTGGTGTGACAGGGACGCAAAATATTCCAGGATACTATTCTCAGACTTTCAGTGCCTTCAAACTCATTGAAAAAGAAGTACTGGTCTTTCAAATGGGCTGAGACCCCAGCTCTGGGGCTGGGAGACCCTTCAGAAAAGAGGATCTGTCTTTGGGAATTCTACAAGACTTTATTTTCCTGTTCAGATCCACAAGTGCCTTTGCTCGGAATTACCCAGAAAGCAGCTATGGCTCAAATTGTTTCCTGGTGGCTTTGGATAGACACTATGGCTCCAACTTTTGTGTTGTGTAGCTGGGGTGTCTGGCCTGCTGGGCTTCAAAAGGAAGTGGATAGCCAGAAGATTTAACTGATTAGTGTATCACAGTATGCATTGGCATGAAGGTTTTCATATGTGTGATGGTTACATAGCTTCAGCTGAAAGCTAGAACTTGAAATGTTGCTTACCAGTGCAACAGTCAGTGCTGCAGCCAGTGGTTTCTTTTCTGATCCCCTAGGACAGTGGCTGTATTGCCCTGCTGTGGCCTCTGGGCTGTAGACCACTGTGGAGTAAGTTGAAGCCTCTCAACAGTGGGCTTGGTTTTTTCTCAAGTTGCCCTTCACAGACTCCATAGAAATACTCCACAGAATGCAGATGGGAAACATAGACTGTCAGTAAGCTGTAGAAATCGCTACTGTGCTCTGTAACTGAAGTTTTTTCAACTTAACAAAAGCCGTGATTTCATAAAAGGGGGTGTAGCAGGTGCTTCTGTGCATCTATGACTGTGTTTCTGACTACGAGCAACAGGATGATCTTCCCTTTGCATTGTACAACTTTGCAAATGTGGTGAACAGGCTGTGGTTCTTCACTTATTTAGCTGTTAGTGGAAAAGACAGCTATGTGTTGCTTATTGCCAGGGGGAGAATTGTTTGAAATACTGGGGTGGGAGTCCTGAATGTGCAGCTGTACACAAGTGATATAATAAGGACACCTCTTTCTGACAGGACAGTACTGATAATACATATTATTTCTCATGTTGGCTAGCCTCTGGGCTCTAAAACTAGATATAAAAAAAATTGTTATATGAACTTAGGTAGTAGACAAGTGGAGGCTTGAAGGGACTTCAAGGTGCGTCTGCTCCTAATTTCACACTTGAATTTAGGAATGAGTTTGCCTAGACCATCCCTGACAGTGATTTGTGGACATTTTGTTTTATATGTGGAGGAGGATCTAGCCTGTTCTTATATCTTCCATATAGGGATTTCACAACCTCTCCATCATTCTAGGATTTGACTGTACTTAATGTGAAAAGTTCTTTCTTGATGCAAAAGTAGGACTTGTTCTTTTTGCCTCCTATGTAAAAACAAATACTGTAATGTGAAAAAAATTTTCTAAGAGCAGCTTATGGATTTATAAATCAAAGATACCAGTATTATACTGGTAGTGCTCAGATTCTGGAATGTTAGATTTTTGTTCTGCTTGTGTTTCTGAATAATATTTCTCACGATGTAAACTTTTTTTTTTTATTTTGACCACTCAGTTTCTCTGATAGCATTTACAACGATAGCTTTCCTGACTATAATGGAGTTCACGGTGTATCGGGAAACGTGGATGAAATATGAATATGAAGTAGACAAGGATTTTACTAGGTATTTTTTATTCATTATTATTCCTTTTAAAATCCAGGTTGTCTGCATTTCAGGAAATAATAGATTTTAAATGTTAGTGTGACTTATGAGCAATTTATGATTGAAAGAGTGAAATACTAAAGGGATTTTATTTTTCCTCTGTTGATTGATTTGGGCTTTGCTTTTCTGGAATCTATGAAGAAGAGAAATTGAGATTGTTGCAATGAAGAAATAAAAATAGCGTGTGTTTGTTGGTGGAGTCCTCAGAGGAATTATTTGCTAACAATTCAGAGGACTTTGTGATATGTAACTCCACATCAGCTATGTAAATCCACCAGACTCACATGATGCTTACTCTAGTTTATACAGTTAGTGTATTGCCATTATCTTTGTGCTGCTGGAGGTGAACCTTAAGCACTCATAACTTTGACTGCCTTATCTAGAGATTGCTGCTGATCTTGTCTCCAATTACGGCCTCCAAGAGTGGCTGAAGATAGATTTGCTGTTGGCTTCATGTGCTTGTCTGGACCGTGTTTGCTTTTCTTCCTGAGGTGGTCAGGCATCCATGAGTCCATGTGAAGTTAATGGAGATTTTGTGCACTGAACGCCTTTAAATATCACGTGTCTGGAACTGAGAGAACTTTAAAAGCTGTTTGACTAGTTGCTGTGGTAACAAGCTACAGATCTGTCTGTTAATTAGATGTCTCGTATGTCAGAAATACCTAAGGTTTCTGTAATGAAAAACTAGAAAATACAAGAAATTTAAAAGACACTCGTCAAAAACTCAGAGTAAATCCGTTCAGACAGATGGGAGTTTCACATTTATGTCTGTGCTAAAGTAGGTTCTTTCCC